AATATCTTCACTTTCCACTAGGTCTTTGAGTAAGAATGCAATTCAACAAAAATTTACTAAGACAGTTGCTAGGTTCTGTGTTAGTGACTGTCATATTGACATGATGTTGCCCTCACCACAATCTTGGAAAACACATATTACTATCCTCATTCTACAGATTAGGAACCTGAAGTATATAAAGTTCAATCAACACATCCAATATAATCCCCCTATAGGTCTCTTGATTCCAAATGCTCTGGTCTTTCCACAGTGCCTCTGCGGGTCCCAGTATCCCATCCTCTAACCCGAAGTCCAATCACTGTTCCCTAAACATGCCCCATCTTACATTCCTCCGTGCCTTTAGAGGGTTTATTCCTTTGTTTTCCTAAGACACATTGCTTTTGCACATCATCCGCAGAATGTATTGCATCTGACTTGTTCATACTTTTTGTTTTACTAGGTCAGGGACTATGCTTTCTTCATCTACATATCTTTTCAAAACACCTAATACAGTTCACTTCACACAAACTCAATAATGTTGGATGAACCCAATGTATACTCACTGACTGATTCTTTTATCACTTTGGTGGGAGGAAATGAGAACATTTGTAACCTGCAAATTGGCTAGAAATATTGGGGCAAGCATTTTTTCTCCTCAAAAATATGGAAACAGTGTTACAGCTCAAAGCTGATGGAAAGTTTCAAATCTGAGTGTCTCCACTCTATTAAAGAATGTGGTGATTCTATTAAACTCCATGAAATATGTATTTTAAAGATTAGTCTTATTAACAAACAGGCCCAAATATCTTGATAATAAAGTTTAATACAGTGATGGCAAACCTCTGACATGAGTGTCAGAGGTGACACGTGAACTCATTTTTTTTGGTTGATTTTTCGTTAAATGGCATTTAAATATAACATAAATATCAAAATATGTCTTTGTTTTACTATGGTTGCAAATATCAAAAAATTTCTATATGTGACATGGCACCAGAGTTAAGTTAGGGTTTTTCAAAATGCTGATATACTGAGCTCAATGGATTCACCATCACTGGTTTAATAGAATAGTAATCTTGACAAACTGAAGCCAAAGGTATAAAAACTGAAGGAAAGAGAGAGAGACTAGGGGGAAAAGATTACCTGGGGGGTATTATGATGAAAAGCCAGTGAGATGCTTTGAGCTTCAGAACTTCTGGACGGGGGAACACTCATTAAATCAGTGTTAATATGGGAAATGAGTCCCTGCGGAGATTTAGCCTCAGCAACTTTCAATTTTTCTTTCTGTTTTCTTCTTCCTGTGTCAACAGAAAATACAATATTATTAATAACGTTATCTAATATAGGTACTTAAAAGTCACCGTTTAATGAAAATATTTGTTCTTGAGTTACCATGAGTTTGCTATGGCCTCAGACCTTGCTATAGAGAGCAGACACCCCATGGAGCAATGGGCTGACATGATACTTCTCCACACGTACTTAATGAATGCCTATCATTTCAGTATTAGGCAGAAAAATAGAGATTATATACTGAAGCCAGAAAAATTCTCGGAAGTTTGATCAGAACTAATCCCTTTGGTTAGAAAAATAATAATATTTAAATTAGCATGATTATTACTCTATTGTACAAATTGATCACATATCACCCATCCACCACTAACATTTCTATGACTAGAGGCCCAGTGCATGAAATTCGTGCATTGGGGGGGTTGTGGGGGGGGCAAGTCCCTCAACCCAGCCTGCACCCTTCTGCAATACAGGACTCCTCGGGGGATGTCCAACTACTGGTTTAGGCCCAATTCCTGTGGAATCCCTGGCACCTAACCGCTCGCCTGCCTGCCTGCCTGATCTCCCCTAACCCCTCTGCATGCCTGATCGCCCCTAACTGCTCACCTGCCTGATCATCCCTAACAATTCTGCCTGCCTACCTGATCACCCCTAACTGTTCACCTGCCTGCCTGATGCTCCCTAACCTCTTGCCTGCCCGCCTGATCACCCCTAACCACACTTCCTGCCTGCCTGATTGCCCCCAACAGCCTCTGCCTCAGCCCCTGCCAGCGTCGCTTAGTCTGGAAGGACATCCGAAAAGACATCTGGAAGTTCGTTCAACTGTCCAGTATAATTAGCATATTATGCTTTTATTATTACAGATTTGCTTCTGCTCAGTTTCAAGTAATTTAGAAAACATTTTATAAAGCTAAATGCAATGATTATTAAATGATCTATGTTTACATTTTACTTTACATATAACATCATCTATACTAATGATAGAGGAATATGCAAATTATTGGAGAGGGTGCAAGCTGGGCTGAGGGGACCTGGGCCCATGCATGAATTTCATGCACCAGGCCTCTAATAAACAATAAAAAGCCAATATTTCATTATTAGAGATTAGTTAGGTAAGGTTTTTGTTTGATTTTTTTGCTATAATACATTTTTTAAAATATGACCTCTAGCTTCTTTCTTGTATATTTCTGTGGGTTTTTCCCCCAGAGTACATGTATATAATTTTTACAACTCAAAAAGTATAATGTCCTTTTTGAAGAGATTAAAGATCATTTGTGAATGAAGGCAGAAAATGCTTGTCCCTCTAACCCCAATCCTGCCCTACGTATGGCCAGGCTGGGGTGGGCATGGCACTGACAAAGAAGGCCTCCTTTTCTTTCTTTTTTTTCTTTAATATATTTTTATTGATTTCAAAGAGGAAGGAAGGAGAGAGAGAAAGAAACATCAATAATGGGAATCATTGATCAGCTGCCTACTGCACGCCCCCTACTGGGGATTGAGCATGTAACACAGGCATGTGCCCTTGACCAGAATTGACCCTTCAGTTGGCAGGCTGACGCTCTATCCACTGAGTCAAACCATCTAGGGCAAGGGTCTTTTTTTTCTTTTCATTAGGTCAAGTTCACCAAATAAGTACCTGTGAGCATAACTTCCCAGTTTTTTTTAATCAGCTCTTCCAGTATTTCTGTCACATTTGTCCAGATGTGATCGAACACTTCTGCAGCCACAGCGTCTTTGATACAGTCATGAGGGGAAATGGGAGGAAGTCCATGCTTGCGCCACATCCCACAGTGGTGAGCTGATTTCTGTTCAAGTTGTTCATTGTCACTAAGGACAAAATCCATTCTAATTAATAAAAGAATCAAGGGTTAAAAGTAAATAATGCTACCTATCTACCTAACATGCATTCATAGATGTATATTATACGGTGGGGTGGGGGAGGTGTCCCTCAGCCTGGCCTGCCCCCTCTCACAGTCCAGGAGCCCTCAGAGGCAGGAGGCGACCCAGCGATTAGGGGAAAGTGACACCACCATCACACCTTTGCTGCTGCCACTGCCAGCAGCGCTAGCTTTGGCTGGCCCTGGTTACCTGAGCCTCGGGTGGCCCTGGGAGGCTGGGCAGCTGATATCCGAGGCTTGCCTGCGTCTCAGTCTAGCCCTGGGTGGCAGGGGGGCTGAGGGCAGGTCCAGCCGCACCATGCACCTGCCACTTTCCTGTCTGGGCTGAAAGGACTGTGGGACTCTGGCAGGGCTGAGGGGACTGGGCGCCGCCATCTTTGTGATGGAGTGATGGTCAATTTGCATATTATAGCTTTATTAGATAGGATAAAAAAATCACATTCCTTTTTTAAATAGTGCATTATTTTCTAATGTACCAATTTTCCATTACAAGGCAAATTTTTATTATATAATATGTGTAGCTTTTGTTTAAGAACAAAATATGCATTTAGTGCTGAAACTGAACCGTCCCCTTTGCCCTCTGCACAGCCAGGTATAGGATACCAGGAGCTCCTGGGCACCAAGTCATGTTCACCATTATGCTAAACACAACTCTTATTTTCTATCTGTACCATATTGTCAAAAACAGCCTGGCTGGCATGGCTCAGTGGTTGAGCATCTACTTGTGAACCTGGAGGTCACAGTTCAATTCCTGGTCAGGGCACATGCCAGGGTTGCGGGTTCAATCCCCAGTGTGGGGCATGCAGGAGGCAACCAATCAATGATTCTCTCCCATCATTGCTGTTTCTATCTCTCTCTCCCTCTCCCTTCCTCTCTGAAATCAATAAAAATATCTTTTAAAAAAGACAAGGAAGGGAAGCAGTCTTCTAGCCTAGACATTTCCTGCCAGGAACTGGAAAGTTTTTGAGAGCACAATCCTATCCAAAGAATGGAAAATCTTTTGGAAAGTGAAATATACACGAAGCACTAAATGAGCATGTAATCAAACTTATATACCAAATAAATTGATATTATTAAACCATTAAGTCAGTACCAAATAAAATTCTACTCACTCTTCTTTTCTGTCGAAAGCGAAATATTCTTCAATTTTTCCATCCACATCATAGACCTCTTCCTGCAGGGATGAATATGCTGCTAGGTTGGCCACCTCTGTGCAGTTGGGACCTGGCAGGGCTGGGGCTGCAAGTGCTGCTGGGAGTATTTGAGAGCCGGAGATGCACAGCCTACAGGGAAAGCAGATTCTCCATGGGAGCTTGTAGAATGCCGGGAGCCGGTCCATCCTTGCTGTTTCAAGGGACCTGGCATATATGGCATACTGTTCTTAATATATTTGCTCACCTTCTTGGCACTATGTGTTTTAACCAAGGTCACCTCTCCAAGAAAGGTTGTTTCCCCAGGTAGAGATTTTCCCCTGAAGTTAGGGAGGGAATAAAACCCCTTCACTAAGTGCCAGGCAGGTAGTTAATCTCTTTAACTACGAACAATCATGCTTAAGCTACATAATCTTTACTCCCTGGAATGGAGATAAGAACCTCCCTA